AACGACGTCAGCAGGTAGCAGGCGTGACGGAAATATTTCAATGTTTTTGCACTTTGTGGGAAAGTACGGAAGGTTTCGTTGTATCTGTGAACAGGTTGTCGATCTGTGTACTAGCGCAATAATAAAGGATTACAGGTAACCTGGCTTTAAACTCTCCAGGGTCGACAACACACATAAAATAAAACTTGGTTAGGAGGCGTTCCTAAGGAAAGCCTAAAACCCGTTTAAGTGTGCAGTTATACTAATTATTATTAGTAGTATTATTTTAAAATCTGAATTGCAGATATACATTAATACGTATTTTAAATGTAGGAATAACAAGAATACACCTACTGCCTCTCCAACAGCATGTCGTAAAATGCGACTACTTGTTCTTTTTGTCGAAGTGCATCTGTCTGGGAGGCAAGGGACTAACAGTCTGCATACACATAAGTCTTAAGTCCAGGGGTGGCGGAGTTTACAGCCGGTGAGCGAGAAGAAGAAGAAGAAGAAATAGAAGCAGAAGAAGAGGAAGAAGAAGAAGAAGAAGAAGAAGAAGAAGAAGAAGAAGAAGAAGAAGAAGAAGAAGAAGAAGAAGAAGAAGAAGAAAAAGAAGAAGAAAAAGAAGAAGAAGAAAAAGAAGAAGAAGAAAAAGAAGAAGAAGAAAAAGAAGAAGAAGAAGAAAAAGAAGAAGAAAAAGAAGAAGAAGAAGAAAAAGAAGAAGAAGGAGGAGGAGAAGAAGAAGAAGAAGAAGAAGAAGAAGAACAACAACAACAACAACAACAACAACAACAACAATAAGAACAAGAGGAGGAAGACATAGAAGAAGAAGAAGAAGAAGAAGAAAAAGAAGAAGAAGAAGAAGAAGAAGAAGAAGAAGAAGAAGAAGAAGACATATTTAAAATAATATGAAATGCATAAATACAGGTTCTTTTCTCTTACTTCACCCTATCTGGGGGATTTCGTGGGAGTTCCGGGGTAAGTCCAAACGTATAGGGGTGTTAAGGTGTGAAATAAGGACTAACACTAATCATAACGCCTCCCCCTCCCCTTCCACGCCACCTACAATGCTGGGCTTTCCCGTGAACTCCCAACGAAAGCTCAGAGTTCCCGAGATGAGGTGAACTAACAGAAAATTACTCAATCCCAATCACTTAAAAAGATAGCTCTTTGTCGTTAGTAGGCCACTTAGCCCTTTGCAACTAAAGGACCCCCCCCCCTTCCCCCCTCCCCAATCATTAGCATTGAGACTGTTATGGCTTTTGTTATCTTCACAACACTCCAGACACCCCCCCCCCTCCCCCCCGCTCCCCTTTTCAAGTCAACATATGGTTTAGGTTTAAACGACGGATCAACATCAAGGCACATGGGCCCTCAAGCCTGAGTCCGAAAAATCTCAACGCAGTGCAAGAACTTCGTATCGCCGACGAGGATCCTGTAATACTTTGGGTAGATTTTTAACTCAACATTTTGCCCGGGCAGCGCCGTTAGGCTTCTCTTTTCTTTTCCTTTTTTTTCGATTGCCAACTGCCAAGGAATTTTTTTAAGAGCCCAGTTATACACACTGGTGTCCTATCTTACTACCCAGAGACTAGGGGCAATTACTAGAAGTCCGCATGAAAAAATTCCATTTTCACCGGGTCTTAAACCCGAGATCTCCAGCACTCGAGGCTGACGCCATGCTTTCGTGATCACGCAGCCTCCTAGTCAACATGTACAACAGCGTGGCGCAACTAGCTGTCCCAGTTATATGCTGGTTGACATGACCTCGTACAACTAGTGTACCTCTTGGTAGGTAGGTCCCCACCGGGACATTACACAAAGCGATTGAAAACCGGTGACACGAAGTGCCACCATGCAGATGAGGATCACCCGTGTAGAGGTCCCGGAAACCCCGTTTAGCCGTTAGGCCATATTTAAGGCCCGGCTATAGTTAGGGTCCTCGGCAGAAGCCAGGGTGGGGCTTCAAAATAACAAACAAAATTGCATCCCACATGGAAACGACACCTATATATGTATGCCTCTAGTGCTGGCTGTGCAAATATTGAACCCCCTCTTCCTCCCTCCTCCTCACAGTTCTTGCATTCCCGGGAACCGGCCATGGGCTGCAGCGAGTCGCAGCTGGATTTGAAAGCGTCTCAAATTGACTGCGCCAACGCGATAGTTGATATGAATAACGCATTGCACAGCTGCTTTTGTGTGTGTGTGCATGTGCAGGTTGTGTACCAACGATAAACGTTAAGAAGATGTTCGGGGAAACACGGTATATGCCGATAGCGATCCGTATCTAGGTCAGCCAGTGTGAAATTGATCGACGTCTATCATTTACTGGAAGTGTGTCCATGGATCGATAACTAGGGAAAGAACACTGTTTATTGAATGCGGTTCTTATTGGGTAGTTGTTAGTAAGCAACAAAGTAAAGGACCCCTTTTAACGCGTTCAGGCGAATTGGGCATATAAGGGAAAACCTATATCGTATAGACCAGTTGGTACTCGGTGGGCGATGTGGTCGGCATCACGTCAGCCGCCGTTACCTCCCATGACTGCATTTGTACCCACTCAATCCTGGGTCGAATTGGGAACCAAGGTTGTTTTTGAAATACAGTCCGGCTCAGTCAGGACCTGAAACCACGACCTTCCGATCCGCAGGCGAGCGTCCAGCGGCTACACCAGGGCGACTCCTTCAGATAGGTCGATTGGGATGTTTTAGAGTGAGATAGCAGCATCATTTATCAGGATGTTTGATGTGTAGTGATAGAACATCGTCATCAACGTACAGTAACACTGCGTGACGCTGGGCCAGTAGTTGCTGTTGACTGTCTGATCAGTTCCCTTCAGCTTTGAGGGTCAGATGCAATGGACTTCCTGGCTGCATGCCTATGGCCTGTCCAGTCAGTCAAGTTCTAGTCTATACAGATGGGTCCGCAGAAAGTGCAGTTAGAAATGGTGGTGCTAGAGTGTACATAGAATTCCCAGATGGTACTAGGGATAAGTCCAGCGTACCAACCGGAAAGTACTGCCATAACTATGATGCAGAAACTCAGGCTATCAATATAGCAACAGAGAAACTGCTTAATACCAATCTTGGCTCACAGTATGTGCTGACAGATGCAAAAATCAGTACTTTAAGCACTAAAGTCTAGGAAACTACCAGAATTGCAAACACTGCTGACACAACTTAGCCTTCAGCGAAGAGTTGTAATGCAGTGGATACCATCATATTGTGGAGTGCCTGGAAATGAGAAAGCTGATCAACTGGCAGGAGATGGTGCAACAAAAGTGCAGCCGGATGTACCAGTCACATACCACCAAAAGAAAAGAATCATTAAATCAATCAGGAAACCACCAGCCCCAGCACAAGACGACTATTTTATTATGGACATATCAGAACAAGTCATTATCCTCTGTCTCAGTCATGTGCACCTGTGGAAAGGTGCCCCAGACAGCAGAGCATATACTCCAGGACTGCACGGAGTTTGACACATTAAGGCAAACTTTTTGGCCAGAAAGAACAACTGAATGAATTAACAACAACAGTGAAATTTATACAGGAGACAAAATTGCTGATATAGACAACTTATTTCAGGCGAACGGAAGAAGAAGAAGAAGTCAAGTTCTGTGTCCAGGTCTTTGTTTTATTTCTTCTTCTTCTTGTTTGTTTATGCTGTCACTCTCTGGTCTGTAATCTCCATTCTGCCTTCTCCACTCCCGCTCGAAAGGCTGCTTTAGCAATGTTTTTGTTTCCTTGTAGCTGTGCGATGGATGAGATTGTGAAAGATAACTTCCAGCTTTTGCCAAATCATCTGCTCTCTCCCTTTGTTTGCCTTTTCTTCTCTTTTGAGTCAAGCAGTATTGTTTCCGAGGGGCCGTTAGATCTCATTACATGTCCGTGCGGTTGCATCTTCCGCTTTTTCAATGTAGATAAAAGATGATTATACTAATAGCACACGATATATGTGTGTGTAATAAACAAATAGACATGCATTGATTAGCAATCAAAGTAAAGAAATAGAAAGTAGACTGTCGTGTGAAGCCACGCTCTGTGTGGGTTCTGGGGCCCCATAATGGAGAAAACTGGAATAGACCCACTACCTCTCTAACTTACATGTCCTATGAATCGACGAACTGGACGCTCCTTTCGAAGTCGGAGTGCATCTGCCCGAGCGTCAAGGAACAATCAACTGCTAACAAATAACCCAGTAAAATTGATGTACATGCAAAACTCAGGTCCAGGCACAAAGCAAGAGTCCAAATGGACGAACAACCAGAACTTTCCGCATGAGCTTACAGCAGGTGAACTAAGAAGAAGAAGCAGAAGAAGAAGAAAAAGAAGAAGAAGAAGAAGAAGAGAAGAAGAAGAAGAAGAAGAAGAAGAAGAAGAAGAAGAAGAAGAAGAAGAAGAAGAAGAAGAAGAAGAAGAAGAAGAAGAAGAAGAAGAAGAAGAAGAAGAAGAAGAAGAAGAAGAAGAAGTCTCGCCCCATACGTATGGCCAAGTCATCTAAGTATTTATCTCTTTTCCCTCTACTCACTTTTCTTCCATCAATCTTGCCAGTCATCACCAAAAAAAAAAAAAAGACAGCTTCCTTTGCTCATCTATAAAATAAATGCCTGCTTAATTTTTGTTCTTTATACAATTCTTCTTCTTCGTCCTTGTCTTCTTCTTCTTCTTCTTCTTCTTCTTCTTCTTCTTCTTCTTCTTCTTCTTCTTCTTCTTCTTCTTCTTCTTCTTCTTCTTCTTCTTCTTCTTCTTCTTCTTCTTCTTCTTTTTCTATTTCTTCTGTGACTGCTGCTTTTTCTGCTGCTGCTTCTGCTGCTGCTGCTTCTGCTACTGCTTCTGCTGCTTCTTCTTCTGCTGCTGCTGCTTCTTCTGCTGTCGCTTCTGCTGCTTCTTCTGCTGCTTCTGCTGCTTTCGCTTCTGCTGCTTCTGCTGCTTCTTCTGCTGCTTCTTCTGCTGTTTCTGCTGCTGCTGCTGCTGCTTCTGCTGCTTCTTCTGCTGCTCCTGCTTCAGCTGCTGCTTCTTCTATTGCTTCTTCTGCTGCTTCTGCTGCTTCTTCTGCTGCTTTTGCTGCTTCTTCTGCTGCTTCTGCTGCTTCTTCTGCTTCTTCTTTTGCTGTTTCTGCTTCTGCTGCTTCTGCTGCTTCTTCTGCTGCTGCTCCTGCTGCTTCTTCTGCTGCTTCTGCTGCTGCTGCTTCTGCTGCTTCTTCTGCTTCTTCTGCTTCTTCTTTTGCTGTTTCTGCTTCTGCTGCTTTTGCTCCTTCTTCTGCTTCTTCTTTTGCTGTTTCTGCTTCTGCTGCTTTTGCTGCTTCTTCTGCTTCTTCTGCTTCTTCTTTTGCTGTTTCTGCTCCTGCTTCTGCTGCTCCTGCTTCTGCTTCTGCTGCTTCTGCTTCTGCTGCTTCTGCTTCTGCTGCTGCTTCTGCTTCTTCTGCTGCTTCTGCTGCTTCTGCTGCTGCTTCTGCTTCTTCTGCTGATTCTGCTGCTTCTGCTGCTTCTGCTGCTGCTTCTTCTGTTGCTGCTTTTGTTGCTGCTTCTGCTTCTTCTTCTGCTGCTTCTTCTGCTGCTGCTTCTGCTGCTTCTGCTGCTTTTTTTTGGGTGTGCTTTCACGTTTAACCAGCATCC